AGCACAGCGCGGGCAGGGAGCCGGAGAAACAGCAGCTGAAGGTGTCAGAGAAGAAAGACAGCGTCCGGACCGCTCAGGAAGGCAGGAGCACGCGGAGCAAGGGGAAGGGGCGCCGAGCCAGGCCCACCTCTCCAGAGCTAGGTAGGGACATTGCTTTCCTGCTTGCCATGGGCCCAGAGCTGGCCTGGCTGTCCCCTCTGCGGGCTTAGAGACCCCAGTCTGCCCCTGCCCCGTCACCGTCTGCCCATCTCCAGCCTCAGGGTGCCCCCAGCTGCACCCGAGAGCAGAGACGGGGCAGACAGGGTGCAGCCTGCTCTGCAGGTTGGCGCTTTGGCACCAGCCAGCTCTATAACCCAGATAAACCAGGCTACCAGTTTGCTGGGCCTCAAGGTCACAACGTTTGCTGATGTCTCTATCCCTCCTGCCTGGCACAGGAAAGACTCATGGGCCCGTTCCCAGGTGGTGACCTCCGGCACTCAGCCCTGGGCTGGTCTGAAATCATACTGGGGCACAAGGCACCCGTGGCGTCTTGTCCCAGGCTTGGTGGTGCAGGCAGGGCATGAATCCCAAGTGCACCCAGAGGATGTTGTAGTGGCTTGACCTGGGGACAGAAATGCTGTGTCACCTTCCTCCTTCCCCCCCCCGCCCTTGCCCCCCCTTCTGCCCCATCTTTGAGGAGCTCCCTGCTCCGTCGTCCCCAGCTTTGCCCTGCCCCAGGCACCGCTCCGTGGCTGAGCCAGCCACAGCTCTTTCCCCCCTTGCAGTGGCCCAGGGACCTGCTACCACCCCCGTAACGACGTGGGGCACGAGCCGGCAGTTTTCTGTGCAGGGGAGGGATGGGCAGAGAGAGGGTTACCCCAGCCCCTGGCTCAGCCTGCGCGCTGTCCGGCACCGCACCAGGACCTGCTTGCTCTGCCTGCAAGAGGCCCACTCACAGCCACGTGGCTCTTCTCTCCCTGTCCAGAGTCCTCCGACGACTCCTACGTCTCAGCTGGCGAAGACCCCCTGGAAGCGCCCATCTTTGAGATCCCCATTCAGGACACAGCGGTGGCTGTGGGCACAGAGGTGCTGCTCAAGTGCATCGTCACGGCCAACCCCCAGCCGGAAGGTGAGCAAGCTCGGAGGCGCGGGAACATGAGCCAGCCGGGGCGGCCGTTGGCCCCAGCGCCAGGCGCTGTGGGGCTCCAGCACAGCCCTGCCACTGCCTCCCTGAGCGGCCACGTCCCCCGCTGAGCCCCGGCAGGGCTCAGCAGAGGGCACATGCTGAGTTGTCCCTTGGAGGCCATGTGAGCCATGAGGCCTCTGAATAGGGGAGAGCGGCCAGCACTCGCTGCAGGCCTCAGCAGTGCGGCTGCCAGGCTGTGCACCCAGCAGGACAGGCAGCCGGGCTCTCTGCTCCACAGGGATGTGACGTGCCCACCTCGAGGGCACCTCTTTCACACCAGCCGGGCTGAAGTGAGCTGCTTGGGTGCAGAGGGCGTGCCATAGTGCAGCAGGCAGGGCGCCAGGGGACAACCAGGGGAATATCGGCGATTCCCCTGCCCCAGGCTATGGGAAAGCAAGAGGAAAAACAATGCTGAGCACTCGGCAGACATGAATGGGTGGTGCCCCGGGAGGGGACAACCAGGGGAATATCGGCGATTCCCCTGCCCCAGGCTATGGGAAAGCAAGAGGAAAAACAATGCTGAGCACTCGGCAGACATGAATGGGTGGTGCCCCGGGATGCCTCCAGGACAGCCTGGGTGGCTTCCCAGTGGT